AGGTTGAAAAAAAATGATTCACCATTTGGACCCTGAACAGGCACGCAAAGCTAGCTACAAATAGCAGGTGTGTAATTTTTATCATCTCTTCTAGAGAATTCAGTTTTGATCATACACATTACATTTGCTGCTTTAGCCCTTCAATATTTTACCAATGCTCCTCTTTATTTTAAGAGTCGAAATTTGTCGTGTCCCCTTACACATGTTCAGGGTCCAAATGGTGAATCATTTTTTTTCAACCTGGAACGGATCTATTAGCGTCAAATTTTTGGGGATTGTGTGCTGATTAACGCCGGAAAAAAATTTCAAAACTTATGTAACACATTGTTGGAATATTGTCTATGCACTGATACCTCTATATAGGAAAATAGCGTGCTTTTTATCACTATTTCGTAGGGCACGAGTGAGCCCCTGTTGCTAAAAAAGGCGTGATCTATCCAATATGTACCGCTCAATAGTGGACAGTTTCTAGGAATTTTTCACGTTTTTACTGCATCGTTCTATGGCACAGGATTGAAAATACCAAAATGTATTTTTGGCAAATAATATTAATGGCCGATAGACGATGGCTCTTTTAGATAGCAAAGCATTAGTGATGAATACTATCAATTATAAAAAATTGAGCATCGCTCTTAATAGTGTCTATTGAATTGTATAACGGAATTATCATACACTCTCAGAGATGACCATAGGAGTGTAAATCAGTATATCGCGTATACCTACAAGAAAGCTTGATGATAACAAAATTTCCTGTATACCATTGGATGCGTACCAATAAACTATACAATATTATATAAAACCTTATTGATTCTCAAAAGTGGAGAGATCCGGCGGGGTCCTTTTGAGGAATAACTGATAACTATAGTAGAATGGCTTCTATAGGTTTGAAGTTGATGTGCAAAACTTTCAGTGAATTATGAGGGTACAGACTGAGACTGGGTGGTTTTTCTTCGCACTCATACTTATAGTAAAATAGTGCTAGCGTTGCAAAAGCTCGAAGAATTTTGATAAAAAATGTATGGTAGATAGATGGGGAATAGAGCTACAGAATAAGCAGGAGCTCGACTCACAAATCCTCTTCATTCATAAGTTATGAAGTCTACAATCATGATAGAAAGTTTGGATTATAGTTCTCGTTTTTCTCAAGCAATCGAGGCATCGGTTGTACGTCTGACCTACAGTCTTTGATAACTATTCGCATAAAAGTTCCCAAGCCCACAGTGCTTTTAATGACTAAGACCCTAGGAGACGGATAGTTTTGTCCAGAAGTATAGAGAAACACATATATTATTGCTTTTCGGGAGGAAATCGGCAAAGAGTAAAAAAGCAGGAACCTGCGAAGCAACCAGTCTACAAAACTGGCTCTACCAGTCTCTAACGAAGCTCACAGCGAACTGACCATTTACCATTACTGGTGGCAACACTGACAAAAAATGAAAATTTTGTACTTACTATCGACATCTGGAAAGTCGTGGGTTTAACCATAAGCATGCAGCTATTCATTATGGTCATCATATCGCATTTAGAACGATAAGATTACGATTCTCATTTTTTTGGAAAGATATACTTGGTAATGAAAGAGTATTTTGCAAAATAATTCGTTACGTAAATACTATTACATTTAATACAGTTTAAAAAGCAAAAAGACATATTATCTATCAAATTGAGCAGGTACTTTTCATCCAAGTATGAATTGATGTTTCTTAATCGCTGTACTGATCTAAGATTTGACGCCATGATTGTGAATCGTGCTTGCAGAATCCGTTTCCATAGGATACAATCCTCATGTATATTCTTAGCATGCATGACATCTCTAATATACTGTTGGTTCGGATTTTTCAAAGAATTCGATGCCATCTATGCTTGGCCACATCATAGCTCGACGGCTATAAGATTTGCACCAACCATCATCTCTCCAAAGTCTTATAGCTTGTTTCATTATGATATTTACGATTTTGTGATTGAAGGTGACCCAATGCGATCATCTCAGGTTGGCATATTTCTGAGCGGACGCAGAGACAACTGGTCATGGCGATCGGTCGATTGTCACTTCATTCTGTCAAGTGTGATTGTTACTGCTACTATGGATAATCTAACAAGTGAGCCTGCTGTCGCTTGCACTATACCAACTAAGGAACGGGTGCTTCTTAAAAAAGGGGCCAATTTTATCTCAGTTTCGTTTTATATAAATGACACATTTCTTCAAAGTAAAGCCTTTACAACAACCCCGGCTATAGCGGTTCCATTTTATGAGCGCTTCTATCATAACATCTCAGTCTATACTATGGTAAAAAACAAACGTAAGGAGCTAATAGAATGGATCGAGTACCATTTGTTAATCGGCATCGAACATTTCTACCTATATGACAATCGAGGAACAGAGCAATTAGGTCTATTTCTGAAACGCTATCTTGAACTAGGACTTGTAACTATTGTATATTGGCCATACACGCCTCCCTCGGGGGCTCACTGGAACATAATTCAAAGTGCCTCTATGAATCATGCATTAAAAAATTTCGGACCATTTAATAAATGGCTCGGATACTTTGATGTTGACGAATACTTTCAGCTGAATTCTACTTTAATAAAGTCAGTTATTTCTAAATCATATACACTAGCTGATCTATTTGACTACCGATTTCCAGAACATGATTATCCAAGCGGAGCACAGTTTGTAAATTGCCAAATATCTTGCTTCCTTTCTCAAAACGAGATAGTTGCTAGTCGTTATACTCTCCTTTTCCAAAAATGTAACATAGTGCCCATTCATAATCATTGCAATACCGCAGCAAAAATGTTTATTCGACCACACAATGTTCCAATAATGCAAAATATTCATGTTTTACCAATTGGCATGGTGTTTGCTCAAAATGTAACGTTGGGACAGTTTGGACAGTTTCGACATTATCATCATGGCTCTGTTGGCTCTGACTTGAATATACAAGGGGTTAGGGATGAATCAATGGACGAATTCATATCACTACTCTTTAGTCGAGTGATCACTTATTGATGTGTCATACTATGAATTGCGCACGAAAACAAAGTTGTAGTGAGAAATGCTAATTTTGCGTTGTAATTCATATTTTTTATGTCAAACGTGTCTGCACGCACAGTTTTTTTGGCGTAAAAAATTTCATCCCACCCTTCTACTATTTGCAAAATGTCTTTTTAAATAAAAACGCAGCTTGAAATAAGCGTTAGAACACATTCGATACTAGGGGTGGGCCATTAACATTAATTTTATATTAATGTTAATGTTTCTCATTAACCATTAATATTAATGCTTAATGTTTTCTGAGAAAAACTTAAT